TTAATTAAAGATTAATTACGAGTTATTAATAATAAAAGGATAATAAAAGGATTAATAAATCGTTTTGTTATATTTTTTGTTTCAGTGAAAATGAGTTTCTCGAGACACTCACGATTCTCAAGTCGAACCCCAACATCGCTCAAAAGTTGCACAAGGCTATGATAAAGGAGCTATACAGCAGCATGAACAATGATCTTGAGGATGTATTAAAGGAAGGCAGTTTGCAGGAAAGCTTCACTAAAATAGCCAAATTGTCCGAGGAGAATACGTCCACTAACGAACATGCATGGTAGGTGATGAGTTCGTTAGAAAATCGTTTCGTGATTGCAGCTCAATGTAATCTCTTATTTGAGAATCATCGTCTGACTGTAGGCGTCCACCGGGAGATGTAACCTCGCATTTGAGATCGTTGGACGCGCACATGATCAAAGAGGCGACCAAGGAATTAGAGGAACAGGTGAACGAGATGGAAAGGGAGAACGAAACTTTAATGAGGACAATCGCGGAGAGTAGATTGAGAATACGTGCCACGAACGACAATGTGATGAGAATTCTGAATTGTGCGCCAGACGTACTGCAACGATTAGAGAAAACGTGTGAACAGCTGACGACTTGTCTTAAAACGATTGAAAATGAGTAGCTCTATGATGGATCTTGGAAGCTCGCTGTATATAACATGTATATAATGTATTTTTATTAAGGATAATAGGTTCTATTAAAAATATTTCTCTATCAAATAAAATAATAGCGAAAAATATATTTATTAATTAGAATATATATATATTATTTATATATATATATATATATATATATATATCAAATTTATGTTTACATATTTATAGTATTTTCAATATTTTTTTGTATCTAATGTACAAATAGTTTATATTCATAGAAAAACTTTATTATTAACAACTTATTATTAATAGTCATATTGTTAATAGCTATCGCATTCATTTATTTCCTGGTTTTTCAAAATAATATCTATCTGTTTCTTTATATCTGGCGAAATGGATACGGCGTTCTCGGAAATCTCCTTCAATTTTTGAATATTTATCATGTTTTTTTTCTACAAAATGAAAGTTTTTTTATAACAATTGCAAATACGTTTTAAATGGGCAAATATTGAAATTAACTACTTCTTGTTCTGCGATCATGGCATTTACACGGGCGAGCTTCTTTGTATTGTCATCTGCTTTTCTTCTCAATTGTACCAATTCTTCCAGCAGGTGCTTCTTCTGCGTCGTCAATTCGTTTATCTTTATATGAATCGTTTCATTTGGATCTTTGTAACCTGATTTTTCTATGCACGCCTTGTAGTTGAGATGTATGTTCTTGAAACGTTCACAAAGATCTTCCTCCTCCAATCTCACATTATCTAACACGAACCGCGCTTTTCGCTGCAACTGCCTGACGTCGCAAATTTCCGTTTCTATATTCTCGTACTTGTTGCGGTAGATTTGCAACATTGGCTTACAACAATTGATTTCTCTCTCAATCTGACGGAGTTCATTCTTGAGATCGTCATTCATTACTTCGATTTCGCTAGACACTGCATACAAATCACATCTCTGATCGATTATGTCTATTTCTGTCAATATAGATTAATTTTAATCTCGATTTGACTTAATTTTTATCTTTTTCTAATTCTAAAAAATAAAAATTGGAAAAAGATAAAGAGTAAATTAAATCAAGATTAAAGTTAATCTATATCATGTTGGTAGATGCATTTTTCTATCAAAAGATACATCTTTAAATAATTAAAGGATTATTCGTACTAGATTAATGCATATTAAAAAAGTTGTTTTATATAACGTATCTAACGTAAATGCAAATATAATTATATAATCAACCTTTGACAAAGAAATATATTTTTTTACAGATTAATTGTTATTTATTATCGTAAGTCTTCTTTTATATTTAGAAATATTATATGTACATTTTGTTGAATAACGTAACAATATCATTAATAAAAAGTAAAAGAACATAAGACTATTCAGGCTATAATTACAGAAACTATTAAACTATTTATAATACATTGATTAGATTAATTTTCAGATTTAGACGTTAATGTAATATAAGCACGTGACTTTAATTATAAAATAATTTTTTTATTCTAAATAGTTTTTAACGATTTTATAAATTTCCGCGTCCGACCCTTTTTCTTTTTATTATTGATTTTGAAGGAATCTTATAAATACATTATTATTATTATTATTATTATTATTATTATATGAGATCGCGGATTTAATTATTTAAAATACTTATATGTTTTTATATTTTTATCTTTCCTATTACTTCATGTAGCAGCTTTTAATATGCACTAATCTTCGGGAAACGAACTCGCTGTAACTTTAATCTCGGTTTACTTTTATTCATTTTTTTTAGTTTTAAAAATTAGAATTAAAATCTTAAAAGAATCATTATTTTTTATTTCTAGAAAAAAATGAAGGTATAAGATGAACCAAGATTAAAGTTAATCGATATTGGTGAGGAAACAACATTAAGCATTTAAACTTAAAATTTTACAAAATGAAAAATAATTAAGTGTGGATAGAATGATAAAACTTTATCATTTTTTAAAATTTCATAAAATTTAAAATGCCAAAGCATTTTATTTTATATGAAAAAATAGACTGTTAAAACAATTACCAGCGTATCGATCAACAAATTCTCCGAAATTTTGAACAAAATCATTATCCATCTCGATGTTAATTGTTATAATTGTTCAACGGATTCAAAGTTATCCGACAATATGATGACGTTCTTAATGAAAAGGTCGGTCTTGCGGAAGATTGTATAGCTCACAATTATTTTCACCGTGCACTAACGCCCTCCTAGAAACATTGCGGTAAAGTAGAAAGCGGAGAGCTAGCTGTTGCTAAATGGATGGTAACAAGAGAGACACGAGAGAGGTTGCAATTACCATGCTGGAGATCGAGTCTGTATTTTGAAACGAAGTGAAAATTACAAAAGTGAACAAATTTATTGGATGTTGATTAATGTAATTATAAATATGTAGTAAATTCGTTCACTTTTGTGAGTCACAATTTTCACCTTAAATTTTAGGATATAGAATCAATAATTGATATTTTAACATTGTTTTCGATAAAAAATGATGTCAGGCATCGATTATTATATATACAGCTCATTATACATTATAGCTCATTTCGATTATCGATATATTGATGTTACAAATAATTGCACTTTTTTCAAATTGATTGCACTTGATTTAGACTCACGTTAAAAATATAAGGAAGAACAAGAACTAGTACAGAGTATAAGAGTACAGTGCAGTTAAGGGTGCGCAAAAAAAAACAATGTTATTTTTTCCTGGATTAAAGAAGTAAAAGTTTATTTGTTTTTACTCTTAGTAATTTTGGTTTTTTCTTATTTTTACGTAAATAATTACGTAAAAATTCTATATGTATTCTATAAATTGCATGTGAATGTTTTTGACCTTTGCTTCAATCCACAGTTTTAAATCATTATCGCGTTGAAGTTAGCTGCTTCTCTCGACGAATGCTTGCGATTCTCGAACTTGAATCCAGGACGCATTGCGGCGAATTGCGGGGTCGAGTTCGTGTTGCTCTGTATTTCTCGTCATTTCTCACGATTGTTTGCCATTTGAAAGGAAACGTTTCGCGCACGAAAACAAGGTTTTTATGAGGGTTTCGTGAAATGTCGGTGATTCGTCGAGATTCGTTGGAAATCAACAATCGCTGCGATATCGGCGATCTCTCAGTAGGCCTAGAAGAGTCCATTGGAATCGTCCTTCGTACTTATTTTTTGAGGCGCAGCGAGGCGAAGGAAGTAACGAATATTTGATTATCACCAGGTACATGCAAATAATAATCGTTTTATAAATTAACTGGATCAATTAATTGCGATATCTTATGATGAATTATCTTCGATAATTTATCGTTTGTTCATTTTTGATATTCCAAATCAATTTTATTACGACATTCCTGATTTTATTTTATTGAATAGTGACCGTTGATTCTAATTGCGCTTTTTACATTTATTTTTCTTATTTCCCTTGTAAGCATTAAACCTCTATCTTATATGTTAAATCCAAGAAGCTGATCTAATAAAAGAGGAACTAGGGTTGAATATCGTATCACACAATTTGATGAAAATTACAAAAATGAGCGAGTTTATTTTACTAAAATATTTATAATTTTATTACACCTCATGAATTTGCTTATTCTATAATTTTTATCAGGTTGTATGATATTATACACAATCCGGAGGATAAATCATTATCATATATTTTTTTTCTTGGACAGAAACGTGAAAAGTAAAAATTTTTGTATGCACGCTGAAAACAAATTTTCTGAATATAAATAATTTATTTCTTGAATAATTCCAAATAAACATTTCTTTACTGCAAGTAAATATTTATTAAATTGTAAACTTATATTATTTGTTATAAGTAATACTTGCAGTAAAGAAATGTTTACTTGAAACTGAAGAAACGAATTACTTAGATTTATAAAACCTTTTTTAGTGTACGTGTATATGTACATACATACATACAGAGCTATGTACATTTGAAATATTTTTATTTAAAACATGTCTGTTTCAAAAGATTGAAAGTTTTTAATTGTAATTCAAATAATACAATTAATTGTTAACCTTAGTATTTTTAAAATACAAGATAGAACCTACAATTGTCTTACAAATACAGTTTTTTCAAATAAAAATATTTCAAATATCCGCCCAGTAGTTCTGTATACATATAAAAATTTTTACTTTTTATACGTTTATAGTAGGGAAAATGTTACATGATTGATTTCCTGATCGAACTACTCCGCGATTAGCATATTGCCAAAAACGGCGGCAGATTCAAATGCGGCCTCGCAACATGGCGGCCGGCGCTCGGATCGTTTCCCGCGTAAAACAGCGCCGCCCCGCGATTGGCCGCGCTCCACCAATGGCTCGACGTCGCGCGCTCTGCGCCGCGAGATGGCGGCAGGGTACGATCACAGTGATCACAACGCACCCGCGATTCGCCATTGCGACGTGATTGCCTACTACCGAAGTTTCATATCGTGTTCGTGCGTGAGAATTCGTTCCGGTGTGTCCCACGTCGGACTTCCTTGGCTGCGGCCTACGCAACTGTAAGTAAGTTGAGAATCGCCTTCTGTCGCCCGAACGCGCTCGAATTCGCCGGTCGAGAAGCGGAATCGCGCGCGCCGTAGACCGAGACGTCACGCACCGCAGAGGCGCGTCGTCGCGGAGAGATACGTTTTTTCTTTTCTTCGCGGAGAGTTAATCCCGTATTTCCGGTCGCCGTCGTCATCATCATCATCATCATCGTCGTCGTCGTTGTCGTTGTCGTCGGTGGTCGACGTGTCGGTTCCTACCTCGCGTCCCTCCATAGCGCCACGCTCGCTCGTGGCCGTCACCGATCGCGAATCATCGACGAGCGGCGACGTCTCGATTCTCGCATTCCTTCTTAACGCGTAACATTCCAGCGCGTTCGTACGCCGTGGCATCGACAGCGGTACGTGGTCGCTTTTGGAGGTTATACGTCGCGACAATGCGACGCGACGCGACGCGGCGCGACGGGGTGCGATGCCGCGTCAGCCGCGTGAGCGATGGTTGCACGCGACCGCGGAAGTTCCGAGTCGATACTTCGGGATCTTTTACGCTTTCCTCGAGTTTACTCTTTGCTCGAAACTTTGATGGTACTCCGGAGCCTTATTCTCGAAAAATGCATTAGGACTGCATTCCAAAATGTCCTCTCCAAGGAAAACTTTAATATAGTATACGTTACGTGTACTGTACATTTCGAGTAAAATTTTCCTCGGAGAGGACGCTTTGGAATGTAGTCGTGGCTTTACAGAAATACTAGACATCTGTGGCTACGTTCAGCAGAAAAAGCAGCTTTGCAAATGTCGTGAAAATAAATTCTTTAACACGATTGATTTTGTGTTTAGTTCTTCACTGGATCTAAATGTATAAATCAATTATGTTAAAGAATTTTACAATAGTTGCAAAGCTGGCTTTCTCCGTTGAACACAGCTAAGTATAAATCAATTGTATTCGCCCCTTTAGACTCTGCAAACATTGTAATGTACGTCACACATTTGAAGATATCCATTAAAATTATTTAATTCTATCGATATTATCTAAGATCTGATGCACATAATAATGTATATGTTGTAAAAATAATCAAAATTTTGTAAAAATTAATTGTGAATTATTGATTGAAAATCAATATGAATTATTTATTAAAGTGCGCATGAATTGAATTAAAAGAAAATATTTTTAACATGGTTCCAATAAAATCAGGTTAAAAGGTTAAAGAAAATCTTATAATAGTTGCAAAGCTGCTTTTTCTACTGAATGCAGCCAATAATGTACATAACGTCATATACTATATTTTCGTTCATTTTGATGCGTGATATTTTTTAAAAATATATCTCTTGAGGTCATATTTTTAAAAAATAATGCGTATAAAAATATACGAAAATACTATAATATACTATAATATACGTTACAGTAGTAAAGCTGCCAAAAATTTCCGATTAATGAGTAATTTTAATATATTTTAATATATTTTAATATATTGTAATTTAAATATTATCTTATAAAGAATCTTTATAAATAAATATCTAATACACAAATATTTAATATATTTAAAATATCATGCTTTTGAGTTGAACAAGAATTTTTTTAACTTATAGTATAAATTAAAAATTAGATTGACAAATGTATCGTAGAATTGTTAGCCGAAACTTTTGGGAGCCACTGTATATTATAGATTTTTCTAGTATTTTTGTATGCGAGATTTTTCAAGAACAAGGTTATTGATACTCTCTGAGGCGCAGCGCGACATTGTTGAACGTTTACGCTTTACGTTGAACGTTTAAAAAACCGAGTAAATAAATAAAATACTTGGTTGACTATTTCACGGTCGAATATAGAATTCTAGATTCTCGCTTCGCAATATATATATATTTCCTTTTGAAGACGAATGGTTCGTACTGCTAAACTTTAACGTATCGTATGGCAGGGAGTGGTAAGCTATAATCTCTGTCACGGTAACGCATTGTTTATTCGCAACAAGGAGAGCTCGGTATCTACGGTGGCGTTATCTCGCGCGATAAGCGCTCCGAATGACGCGCGCGACTAACTATGCACGGAGAATTCGAGAGAGAATATATTTTCTCGATCCGCAATTGGAAATTTATCAATTTTTTTTAATTGTAACAGTGCTCCTCTCTCGAATATAATTTCTCGATATTCTATAACAGTTTGACCATGAGCGATTTTGTCACAATCCTACGAAAGAGCACAGAAAAAAATAATGTTGTTATAAACGCAAAAAGCTTACAAAATTTAATTGTCCAATTTGTTTGCTATTCATAGTAAAGAAATTTGCACATTTGACAAATATAATATTTTGTATTTGTTGCAAATAATTTCTGTAGCGAGTACAAAAAAGATAAGTATTTGTTACACTCGGAAATAATTTTACACTCTCTGTATTTGTAGATAGAATTTGTAATTTTTTTACAAATTTTATATATTCGTAAATAGAATTTGCTATCACATAACATAGGATTAGCGTTTATAACAAAGTTTTTTTCTTTCTGTGAGAAAGATATAATCTTCATACCTAGGATATCCCAGAATGATCGCCAAATATTTCGTCTCTTGCAGTTTTTCTGTAAACTTGATAGTATTTGAGTAAAAAATGATTGAAAATTAATATTCGGTGATTTTTAATAACTGATGTCTAATTAACTATTGTGAAAATTGTAAAATAATAAGAGGACTTTTCGATTTAGTTTAGTACGTTTTATCTGCGCACGGAATATTTGACAATCATTCTGGTCTACTTTGTATATGAAAATTGTATACCTTTCTCACAGAAAGAAAAAAATTTGCTAAAAAAGTATTTGCCTGTGTAACAGCAAATTCTAGACAATAAACTCGGTTTAGTCCACTCTACCTGCGCAAATATTTGGCGTCATTCTGAGACACTTTGTATATGTACATGCACATCATGTATATGCATTGAAAAATCTATTTAGTTAGATCAATTAACCTTTTATTTGGTGAACAAATTCTTGGTTAATACACTAAAATAATGTAATTAAAGCAAAGTATTTGTTTATTTTAGTATTCTACTTATTTCTGATAAAAATTAACATCTGATAAATTTGTTTATTAGAAATAGGTAAAATGTTACAAAAAAAAAATAATCAAATGTTTTGCTTCAATTTTTATCATTTTATTGCATTAACCAAAGATTTATTTTTTTTATCCAAACAAGTTAATTGACTTAATTAAATGGGTTTTTCAGTGATATATACAAGGTATCTCAAAATAATCGCCAAATATTTTATGGGCAAATAGAGCAGACTAAACTGAGTCGAAAAGTCCTCTATTATTTTGCAATTTTCGCAATAGTTAACAAGATATTAATTACTAAAAATTGTCTTCAATAATTTTTTACTCAAGTACTATCAACTTTACAGAAAAATGGCAAGAGACAAAAATTATTTATTTTCTTATCATAGAACTCTAAGAATTTTTTCAGAATTTTTTATCAACTTTTTAGTACTGCATTTTCTTATTTTTACTAACATGAGAAAATACGGTATTAAAAAAATTCTGAAAGTTCTACTTGAGAAGAAAATAAACAATTGCGAAAATTGCAAAATGAGAGTAGAGGACTTTTCCATTTTAGGACAATCAGTTTAGTCCGCTCTACCTGCCCAATATATAATAATGAAATATTTGGCGATTATTTTGGGACATCCTATATATAAAATTTCATTTCAACTTATATTATCTTACTTTATAATTTTACTTAAGATTACAGAATGAGACAGTATAAATTAAAATGAGTATTATGAGTATTATGTACAGGGAGAAATTATACATGTATAGTGTGTGTGTGTGTATATATATATATATATATACATACATCTTTCTTATTTGTAGGTTTTGACAAAATCATTCGCGGCCAGACGATATAAGGTTTCTATTCGAGATGAAATAGAAGTAGAATTGATAAGAAATAGCGCGATGCGACACAGATGTATTTTTTAATGAAATAAGTTGATGGAGAAATTTTCTGTCGACAAATCCACATGTGATTTGTCTTCGTCCGAGGATTAACATTTGTCTCTCCCTAATTTTACTAGTCGACGCGAACAAACGTAACGAATCATTAGGTGATTCAGTGCCAATTTTAAGGTATCTCAAAAGTTTCCTCGCTTAGGCTGAAATATGCTATTTTTGGTACAATCAAACAGGACGTGCGTGTTCCGACAATAAGTTTATATCAAACGCATTTTTATGAGCGCAATACCCATTATCGACGATTCCATAACACAAATACGAGGAAAAAAAAATGTATAACAATATTCACCGACAGCGATTTAATTATATCTAATAATCAATCTATCAATCTAATAAGCTCGTTAATTAAATGACAATATTAATTAAACAAATACGCTTTCTTGTTTTAATAAAATATTATCTGTTTCAATATCTGTCATTGAATTAATAACATTATTTTTAATTAGGTCACTCTTGGTTAATACTGTTGACCTTTAAAGTGTCTATTTCTAAAATCTTATTCTTGAGTATTTGTTAAGCTGACAAGAAATTTTAATAAATATTTGTTTAAACAGTATTAATTAAACATTTACCTACAGTAAATAAATATATTTATTGAATTGAAAAATGATAAATCAAATTAATATTTCTTGTATTAATAAATATGTTTGCATTTAATAAATATTTAGTTGATCCAATATATACAAATATTAAAATTTAGTACATCTTTTTTCAGTGTATAATTCATTATTCATTGTATTTCTTGCTTCAAAATACTAGCTTTCACGTCTTATAAAGATTACACCATGTTTTTGTTTTAATAAAATATTTATTTTGTTAATATTGTATGAAAATTAACAAGATTATTTTTAATTAAACTGCTATTGGATAATGCCATTAATCTTTAGAGGGCAGTGATCTATTTTTAAAGTCTTACAACTTTTCTTCTTAAGATTTGTTATAATTCATTATTATATTTTTTAAATTATATTTTGTTATAATTCATTTTTTTAAATTATATTCCTTGCTTCAAATTGTA